AAAAAAAATAAAAAAGAAAGGAGAAAAAATGGGAAGAAATAAAAGGTCGAGTTTGAAACTCGTTTCTCGGTAACCGTGATACCTGTTCGATTTTTTATCTATTTGAAAAGGAAGAAAGGAAGATAGTGGGGGAGAGGGAGGGAAGGGGATGGTAGTTAGAGAAAGCGATGAGACTCGTTGCAACCAGACGACTGGGGGGGGGGGGCGAGGAGGGGGTGCAAAACGCGCGAAACTGGAATAGAAATAAACCACCGGTCATATCCCATTTGATATTCAACCTCCGGCGTATCTGTCGTACTGCGCTTCCGTGTCTCCTATTCTTCTCGTTACAATGGAACTGCTGAACGTTACTCGTTGATTTAAATTTTCCGGTACATGGGCGTGCACAGCCGCGGCTGTGGATATCGCCCACCTCCGCCCCCTTCACCTGCCAACCCCCTCAACCGCCGCCACTTTTCGTTCGACACAAAGCGCCCCGTCATTTTTACCAGTCGAAGAAGAAACGAGGGTAAAAAAAAAGAAAAAGAGAGAGAGAGAGAAGGATAATAAAAATTAAAAAAAAAAAAAAAAGATACAAGAGAAGTTATAGGAAGAACGTGCTTCCTGAAACCGAGACCCTTCCGTCTCGACGAACTAACGAACTATTTGCACTCAAATTTCGATATTTTTTTTTTTTTTTCTCTCTCTCCCTTCGCCACTTTCATGCCAGTGGTTCCGACGCTCTCCTGGTTTGAAAATCTTTTTTTCTCTTTTTTTTTTTCTCCCCCTCTTGCCACATCTGCCCTCGTTGCCACAACAACCGCTAATTGGACTTTTATTGGGCTTCAATGGGCTTCCTTTCTTCCTCTGTAGAAGAGATTGGCTCTTTTCTTCTCGCGAGAGAATGTGCGATTGTTAAATCGACGGATATTTATAAGGATCAGGATAATTAATAAGGAAAAATTGGAAAAGATAAAGGATTGATTTTTTCCCTTCCCCAATTATAAGCTTCTTCGTAGCCGTGCGAACTTTTCACTTCGAAAAACTATTTTCGTATGAAGTTCTCCATTTTATAGAGATACTCCTCCTTTCCAATGTCGCTTGGACGACATTTCATGCTAAATCCATCATCGTTCTTCATTCCATCGATTTTTCTATCCTTTCGATGAAATACTCGACTTTCGGAATTTTCAAACGATAAACTCTATTTAAATATTTTCAAAAATATTTAAGTTATTTCATGCTCGCCGTTAGAACGTTTCGTCGTGATTAATAATCCTCCTCGAAATTTTATATATATCTTCATTTCGAATAAAGGAATGATTAAAGATGATACGAGGAAATTTAAACGCACGAAAAATCCCGCTGACGTGCAAAATACCGTGGAACGTAATTCAAGAAAGAGATTCTCGTTACACCGTTCCGTGGAACGATCCACCACCGTTGCGTTACTTTACCGGATCTAAAAGGACAACAGGGAAAACCGAGGGAGAAAAAGGATGGAAGATCCTATTCGTGACACCTGCTGAACCCCTGGATTCGTTTCATGGGAAATTAACGTCAGGTTTAAAAATTTTGGATGTACGTTGTTTCCCAGAAAAAATTATTCGTTTCGAGAAACAAGTTCAAATCTTCCTTAATTGTTTCTATCGTCGTATACTTTTCATTCATTTTCATCAAAAAATTATATTATATGTATATATTAAAGAAAAGTTTCGCAAAAGGAAATGCAAATTTGTCGAGGGTAAATTGAAATCGTTATCTTCATAAACCAATTTATAAAATTCTTACGATCAACATTGCGAAGAGAGTAGCTCTTATGAAAATTCCGTCTAAATATCTCAAAAATTATAACTTATATATATATTCTATTTGTTTAATCCCGAAAAATAAACAAGAAATCTGGAGAAATCCGAAGAGAAGATATCCTCCTTGAACAAAGTGCCTATCTCGAAAATAAAAAAAAGACGTCGTATTCTCGATCCCTAATTAATAGGAAATTAACTCGCCTCGACAAACGTGCCGCGCGTGAGATCTCGATTAATCCTACGTGGGCTGGTTCATTCGCAGAAATAGCGTGTTTCCGGGGCGCGACGTGGCCAACCGTTCTCTCGCGCTCCGTCAGAGACGTCGAAGAATCGTGCTGACGTATGGAATATAACGTAACTGGAATATATCATAGCGAGGTATTATATCGGTGGCGCAGGCGGGGAAGGGGAGGGGAGGGGAACGATGTCCGCCACTGTCACGGAAGCGGAGGCA